AGCCTGGAAAAGGCTGGGTTTTGAGAGATTAATGTACCGAGAGGTTTACAAAAGCTTTTCAAGTCAGTGTTTGATCTGAGCATCAAGCACTATGCTTGTCTGATATTTTTACCCAAAATACATCATCTCTCTCTGAAAGATACACACCTTTGGTGGCAAACATGAAGAAAGAATATTTAAAGAATGAGCAAAGCCCGTCCACTCCCACACCTACAAAGATGATAGTTTTATAAACTTTGTTTCAACTCTGAAAAACAGGTGACTAATGGACACACAAGGGATGATCTTGTGAGAGCAGATTTATTTCTAGACCTGCTGGCTAATTCCACTTCATGCTTTGTTTTTAATAAATGTAAAAGGTGCACTAAATACTTACCTTTATCAGAACAGTAACAAGCTACGCCCAGCTAAGTAACATCTCATGAACAGAGGACAGGCAAGTTTTTCTAAACCTCTGCTGTGTCTGAAATCCAAAAGCTAGCTGTTACTGTAAACCCAGGCTGTGTTTTACTCACTTCAGATTTTACTTTTTTAAAAAAATCTTTTCACATGTAAGAAAACCGCAGCTGTTAGGCTCTCTGAAGAACATACAGGCTACAAGCATGGGCAAATCGAGATAAACGGCAATAAAAGTGCTGCAAGCGTGCGAGGTCTGGACTTTTGGACAGTGGTATTTTTAGACTGAGGTCTGGGGAATTACTCCAGGACACTGGGCTAGACAGTGAGGGCAACGGAAGGGGGAAATGTCAGTGCGAGAGGCTACGGATAGCTTAAGGAGGCGCAAGTGCCCAAATGTGATTCTTTCCAAGCAAATAAATTTGCAGTCTGCATCTGTTCATGGGTTTTCACTAAAGATGAGAAAATCATCTCTCCATATGCAAGATACAACCCAGTGCATTAAAAAAAGGCACAGAGCAGTCTTTTCAGAGAAATTAAAGCAATTAGAAAAAATAGTTGATGCTTAAGAAATAACACTGAAAGCGTTCACCTCCTAGGTCTTAATGAAGTTTCTCCAACAAAAAGACTTAAAAATAAAATTTAAGTTGAGAGAAAACATTTGATACAGGGGTACTGACTTCCAGAATAAGGTAAGGTTATCCTCTGCTTTTAAGAAATCACAAACTCTCCCTTGCCAGAGTCTTCTTCAGAAAGCCAACAGCTACTGGAAGCTTTTAACCTGGACTCTGTCCTCACCTACCTTTTAACAACCTAATTTCTTAAAGGTCTGAAAAACTTTTCCATTAAAACAACACAGTATAAAACAGTGACAAATAGTCAACCTATTTTTTTTTTCTAAAGTGTTCAATAGTGTAGCAAAAGTTTCTTAGCACTCATGGCTTTTCCACTTTTCAGAACGTAGCCAGAAGTGGCACTGCAGGGACTACCAGGAGCGCTACAAAGTCCACTTGTGCGTGAGCACACTTCAAAGACCGGGACAAACAAAAAGTCAGCGTGGTGCTAAGTGACATCATGAAAACTGAGCACCAGGTTGCAGGACAGTCCAGCTTCTCCCAAGGAGGAGCACTAAATCTAAGGATGCCAATGCCGAGCTGTCTTTTCTCAAGAGCAAAGGTACAGGTTGGAGAGCCACGGCTCCTTTACACAGCATCGTAAAAACCACTGGAACGCAAGTAAGTACTGTACACTCTGTATGCGAGGAGGACTTGCCCAGTTCACAAGCGAATTTAAGTTTTTCTTACACTGGTTCCCAAAATGCTGTCTCTTCAGTTACTCCTGTGTGCCGTATTTCAACTGGCTTCTCAATCCCTGAATTAAACTCCTTCAAAATTCAGGCAGCGTGCTAGCTAGTTAATGGGCTGTTAGCACAGAGCGATTTTGAAAGCTATCTTTGAAATGTATTATTCAACTGAGACCAGTCTCATTTTACTATTTTACTGTTTCTCAGTTTTCAAAAGGCAGCATAAGGGTGTGTTAGCATTTTACTACGTCAGAAACAAATTAGATGGATGCCCCTTGGGAAATGGCTTTGGTGTGGTTTCTCTAGAAGATACAGACTCAGCAAGCAAATCAGACTTCTGTGGTTATTGCAGCTTTTGGTCAAATTTGGCTGCCTGGACTTTTGGAACCAGAAAGCAGACACGGTGCTCTGCTGTCAAGAAGGGAACATTTCAAAATAAAACTACTCAAATCACGTGCTTGCACCCCCTTATAGCTACTTGGAGGGCCCATAAACACCTCTGCACTGCAAGAGCAAGATCTCCCCATGCTCACCCAGCACTGTAACTCCTCCCGTGTAGCCAACACCTGCAAGAGTTCAGTGTCAAAAAAGGGGGAAGAAGAAAGAAAAAAACAGTCTCTCACAGTCCCCTGTAGCGACCAGTTCAACAGGAGAGCAGCACTGACTGCTCCAGGTCACAGGACAAAGGGGTACTAAATCCAAGGTGTAAAACTTCTCACAAATTCGGATGGGGATCTGTCGAGTTACCTAGTACAGAGAAGTCTCTTCTGTGCGTTTCTTCTCATCCTTAGCATTAAAGGCAAAGACACGTTCTCCTCCACATCTAAACAACAGAAGCCTGTCAATCACGGCGTGATACACAACACAGCTCCACTCTGTGCTGCAGCTGTTTTGTCACATTTGATGTCTTGAGTCACTCAGCAGCAATTCTGAGGGTAGTTAGGATAAACTCCCTGGCACACTTATCTTCCACTGAAAACAGGTGGAAGCAATCACTTCTCATCTCACCAAGTGGAACATCTTCTGTTCTGCTCTTACACGATCTTTCACTGTCTCCTCAGATACCTGCAGTCGAGTTTTCTGCCCAAGAGCAGAATCATACGGGAACTTGCAAACATCCTTCTCCATTCTGGCAGAGACACACCGAGATGCTCTTAGTGCAACCCACCCCAACCTGTCTTCCTTCACAGTAAATGTGACATCGCATATGACTCCGCAGTGGCTCTCTATCCCCTCAAGACAAGGGCTCTGCAGGACTACTATTCCTTTTCTGTCGAAGCTAAGCGTATATATTAATCCATCTACATTCATGGAAGAGGTTTATAAGCCACCTAGATCATGCTATTCTATAGCCACAGTTACATTTTAGACAGCAAAAGCAATAAGCAAGCCTCCAAAAAGTTGTTGCAGCAGCAAATAACTTTAGCAGAACCTTTTGATGCCAGTCAGAAATATTGTTGAATGCATACTTTAAGGGGAATAGTCTTTCTTGAAAGACAAGACTGTGTGACTGAACAGAGGTTCTGTAAAACTCATTTGCAGCTTGGCATTTTGCACACAAGGTAAGGTCAGTAAAAACCGCTCAGGACAGCCACCCATTGATTTTCAGACAGCACACGTTTTCTGAAGGAGCAGGGAGTAAGGGCTCACCTAGCAAGGGTGGGAGGGAAGCTCGTGGACAGAGCAGTGCAATTACTCCTTCGTAGTTATGCCAACAAACCCCGCGTGTGGACACCACACATCCACCAAAGAGGCGGCAGAACTATGGCAGAATAGGCACTGCTACTGTTATGCCAGTCAACTTCTCCTGTAAACAAACCCCAAAAATAATTTTCTACATAAATTAGGCTTGCAACACAAAGGAGGAGGCTTTAGACAAATCTGCTTCAAAGTGTTCCCGCTACCGCACATGGAATGGCCGTATCGTGCTGCCAAGGCAGGGCTCAGCAGCACTGCCTTCTGCCTGCTGTTCTGTGGAACAACATTACTTAAAGTTTAGAGTAAAAGAACTTTGAAACTATATGAGACGGCATTTACAGTGAAACGCGGCAGGCCAAAAGTGAAGAATGGATACCTTCAAAGAATTAAGGATTTGCACTGCTCAGACAGCAACTCTGAGGAGCTGGGCTAGCCTGATGCACCCCAGTTCCTCACTGCACTGAAGCACCCATAAGGTTTTAAAAAAAAGTGAGAAAAATATATTGAACAAGACTCAGAAACTACTTTTACCGATGTTCAGTAAGTCTTATTCTCGAGCAATTTAAATCTGACAAGTCGTGTGAAAGTATTCCCGATGAACCTATGGGACACGTGGACTCAATTATCAAACGCAGTGATACTAAGAGAGCAAAAACACATTAACCAGTATCTGACTGTTCCCAGGTAGCTGCTCAGGGAGCTCCACGAGCCAGCTGATGCCTCAAACCACACCAAAGTGCACAGGAGGAGTTTTTGAAGTTTATTCCTAGCAGCATTTCTTCAGTGGTACCTATTGATGTGTGCTCCTTGGCATTTAGCACCAACAGGCACAAAACTCTCCCACAAAGACAATGGTAAGAGGACACAGTCACCAAGATGTATCCATGAATACAGGGTATGAACTCACACTGCTCCTTGTAAAGGCACTACTTGTTGGAAAACTATTACCTTTAACGGTAGACTAATGACCTTTAACGCATTTTAGTTAAGACAGGTCTGTCCTGTTTTAAGCTGCTCTCCCCACAGCTTAGCTTTAGTCTTGAATAGCATCAGTTGGAGAGCCTTTGGGTCTTACGAGAAAAAGGTGGCAGGGATCAGTTGTTGTTATTGTGAGTTTTTTGCTGGTCCCTGGTTTGTTCTTTACACACATGCAAGCAGGTTTTCATTCTAAAGGTCTTCATATAAAAGGCCTGTTGATATTCACTGGTATTTTACTGAGAAGAAAAAACCTCCAGGCTTCAAGCAATGGGTCAAATTGTACAGCAGGACAGTCATGCTAGAGTCTCCCTTAACCCATATCACCATCTCCAATTAACAAATCAAGTAAAGGGAACAGTGTCACGTATTCGCATGGTATAACAGCTAAAACTACATGGGCTACGTCACGGTAGCTGCTGCTGCTTTTTGATAAGCTTACCTTTGTAGTTATTCAAATTTTATTTATTTGAATACAATATCGTATTAAAATTCACTAAAATAAAATTTTAAAAGCAAATGTATTACAGAATTTACTATCTGTTTCAACAGAATTGAAAAATGTGTTTTGCCTAATCTTGCCTTAATTTAACTAGGGATAACTTCATTTTACTTTGCACCATCATACCTCAATCAGTTTGTTGGCGTGTTCACGGAAAACCTGGGCATATTCTTTAACTTCCTTCTCGTTCCCATTCTTGGCAGCTTCAATCAATACTAAAAGCGGAACATTTGTTTCCAGAAAAGAGTCTGATACATGGTCCATAACAGCTTTGCGGAGCTAAAACACACATAAAAGAAGAGTTATTTTTCACTAGTGTTCCACGGCTCTTTTCCTTTTACGGTATTAATACGTAAAGCTTAAAGTGTTTTGTCATTGATTCTTTCTCCTGTGTGTAACCAAGGCTTTCCCTGCGCTGTCTTGTCTACATATACACTTTTTTCCTTCAATTTAAATTAAATCTCCGTAAAAAACTGGATTAGTTATGTAAGTGCAAGTCACCAGTTTGGCCACAAATATTGATTCAGCAGCTCATATTGGTTTAGTCTGAGTAAATTTGCTGCTTTCCCTCAGCTGATTAAACAAAATGGTGATTTAACTATTTTATTTTTCTAGTAGAATAGAACTATTTTTTCAACAAACTCGATCCATATTCGTATCTACTTGAAAAGGGGAACATATTGCTTTAAAAATGAAACGGACAAAAGGTTGCTGTTACATAAATACAGTCCTCAAAGAAAACAGGCTCTCCGAGACGAACACCATCAGAATTACAAAACATATCTGCTTATGTTCACAATGTACCACATGTGAGGGGTTTGTTTCGGGTTTTGTTTGCTCGGTTTGTTTTGGTTTTGGTTGTTTTTAAACGTCTCCTGCCACAGGGATGATTAAGAATCCAACATCTTTATTACACAATTAACAGGGGGTTACATTTCTACCCCATGCTTCCCTGTGAACCAGGCACTGGATGTTTTTAAACCTAGCTTTTAATTCACTAAATACAAGCAAGCAAGCCCACTGTCCACTAGAAACCAAACAACATATTTCCAAGAGGGCAAACATGCAGAAATGCACTCGTTTGTATCAACAAGTATTAACTTTATATATAAATTACCTGTCTACGCAAGTCTCTGGTCTTTTTGGTCATTTTATCAATTGCAGAGTTCAGTGCATCGCTTCTTTCTTTGCGTCCGGCCTGAAAAACAAGAGACAGAGAGGTAAACGGGTATTCAGGGGCTCAAAGTAAAGCAGTAGTATTCATTGACTTATTCAACCGTCCGCAGCCTTTGCCGTGGCGACTGCCCACACAAACACCTGGCGCCCTGCAGGTACAAGCATCCTGTGAGCAGTCCCCAGGGCTGTTGTTAAGGGAGGGCGAGTGGAGCAGCTTCTCTCTTTTTAAGCAGACATTGGGAGAAAAATATCCTAATTTGTATCAAATTGGGAGTGTCGGATAGAACAGTGGTGGTCTGGTTATGCTGGGAGTTTTTCTTTATAATAGATCTTATATTGGAGTTTTGAAACACACTCCATGAAATCACAATCCAATTTCTGAAGTTCTAAGTCACGATCAATACAATTATCCTGTTGAGAAGAAAAACCATTTAGCAGCACTGAAGTGAGGGTATGCCAGTTATCCATTCTCCAGGTGACAGGCTGGTTTGAAATACCTGGATGGGCAGCCTTTAATCTAAAACACAGAGCCCGCTCTACAGCAGAAATAAAAACTAAACAAAATTGGGGGCGGGGGGGGATCAGGATGTTGTACAGTCACTACAGTTTAATGAATTATTGAAGATTTGTCACCTCTGTGATCAAGCAATTTGATTCTCATCACAAAAGGTAACTGAAACGTGACCAAAATTAAAACCAGCTCATTCTGACTACGTCACGGCCTTCAGCAGACCCAGTGTTAGCCCATTCTTCACTCCACATTCAAAAATCAAAGCCAACATCTCCAAATAAAGTAAAGATTAATGCTACTTATTTATTGAAGTCAGTCTGCTGTTCCCATGCTGAGCAGACACGAGAAGAAAACGCAGTTAGGTCAGAAAGCCCCCATTCAACAGACATCAAATGCAATGGCTCCGTCTCAAGCCACAGCTCTGGGTGCACTGGTGGCAGTGGGCTCTGCCTGCACCCCGAGGCGGGTGGCGGGCTCCTCACAGCGGGTGATTCACCCAAAAATCAGAAACCTGCACAAACTAGAAGTCTGCTCTAAGACATAAACCTACAATTGCAGCTGCTTGTGCTTTCTGGTGCTTTTGACACCATTTCACCTATTGCAACGTGACCATTTTACCAAACCCATGGCACCCTCCCCATACACGTGGGTGGTTTTTTCCAGGAACATCTTTGGAGCTAAGATACATACTCATCTATTATGTAGAAAGCCAAACATTCAGCTACTCCAAGAAGTGCCATCTTACTTCTCCCTGGATGCCCCTACGTTACCATTTTAACGCGAAGCAGGAGCACGCCTTTGAAGCGAGTCCACCCATCACTTCCACTTTGCTGTCCCTGGCTTCACAGCCCAAAACAGCCTGGCTGCACGAGGACCAGATGCCTTTTGCATGAGAGGAAAACCAAGAGATGACTTCCACTAATGGACATTTGGTTCATGAGACTAGACCGCAGTCAGTCCTACGTAAAACGCCCTGAAAAGCATGTAAACTAGAGCCTAAGCAACACCAACCTCATACTGTTGATGACATGAGCACAGAATGAGCCGTATAATCTAAATCCATTAGATTTTAGCAAGGCAGCTCTGGTTTATTACCACCTTGCTGGCATTCAAAAATTTTAGTACAGAAGCTCATCAGAAGTATTAACAGAATTCCCTTCTGAAGGCTGCAACATTAAACACCCTACTAATTTAGCTGTGGTAATTTAGCAATTTAGCACATACAGCTACTAACCTGGCTCCTTTGTTCAGACTGGTGCAGCGAAGCAGAGTAGGGCAAACACGATGGGTGCCCACACCTCTGTGGCTACCAAGACCCTTCAGTCATTAACATCTGAAATCATCACAGCCAATTCTAACCGAGGTCCTAGCCCAGGGACAAGGATGTCAAGTTTTGCCCATCTGAAGTTTCTTGACTTTTTTTGCATAAAATGAAACACAAAACACGAACTGTGGGACCAATTACATCCCGTTAGGTCCAAATGGAGGCAGCCAGTGGGACAGTGGTTGCTGAAACACATGAAGAGCTGTACAGCCTGCAGCTGCGCAAGCCCTCCAGGGCACCTAAAAACACTGAAGATCATCCTTGACCACAACAGTCACTTCATCCAGGCTGCCACACACCCAGACCCCATGATGAGAGGACTGGAGCATCTCCCATATGAGCAAAGGCTGAGAGAGCTGGGTCTGTTTGGCCTGGAAGAGACTGAGGGGAGATCGCATTAATGCTTATAAATATCTAAAGGGCAGAGGTTAGGAGGATGGGACCAGAGTGTGTTTGGTTGTGCCTAGTGACAGGACAAGGAGCAATGGTCCCAAACTGGACCATAGGAGGTTCAACCTAAACAAAGAAAAACTTCTTTACTGTGAGGGTACCAGAGCACTGGACCGGCCTGCCCAGAGAGGCTGTGGAGGCCCCTTATCTCGGAAAACGTCCTCTCCGGACAC